CCCAAGATATTTAATATCAAAGCATATGATATAGGATCAAATAAGCAAAGGAATTTAATCAAAATAGAGCATTAGCCAAACGAGCCCCCCTAGAAAGGTCATTGACATTACAGAAATCCATGGATACAGAATGAGATGCTACATTCTGGCTATTAGGTATGACATTTCTGATCTAATATCAAGTATAAGATTTGGTCATTTGTTCAAATATGGGGTCTAATATCTGAGAGAAGTATGTTCTCTCCCACGTCATTGCTACTCTTAAAAAGAAACCCAACCTAACCTAATTAACATAACCCAGCCAAACGTATCCTATCCTAACATAATATAACCTAACGAAAATAAGAGTTAAAGTGTTGTGTTTTATTTGTGGAGTGCAAAATGCGTGACGTCACTATGACGTTATAATTGTTCATAGCAGTAGAGGTTTTAGATCAGACTCAGGACGTATCACCTGAATATGAATTCGACCAAAGAGCCAAAGCTCAACCCCCGCAAGCACAATTAGGTGAGTACAGACGCCGGAAATTAAACGTGGACAATGATGTCTTAAAATCATCTGAACACAAAAACTATGTTATGAAAGATGAATTTTCAATAGTATCTTAGTAAAGGATATTTTATGTTTAACACGACCCTTATTGTTTGAAATATTTCTTGCTCTGTTTGGTATATTAATAATAACGTATGTAGACATGATCACATAAAACAATGTCTCGACCACTTGATCACTCCAGCCATAACTTGCGAGGATATTTTTGTATCTACAACTGACAATTTAAAATTACTGCATTTAAATCCAGATTATACAGTATATATTATTAACGGTTTACGTGCTATGCTGTTATTGTGACTTTTTCTTATGTAATTTTATATATACTATTATAAATGTACAACCATTTATGGATAATTTTTTGTTAATTTCATTAAGATACTCCATGCACTCGTCAATAAGGCACATTCACCCACTCTTCCGTCTGGGAATTTCGCCAATACGTATACCTCGGTTCAACACTATTCCCGCGGGGGTGGTGAGGGCCGACATGGGAAATAGGCTTGAAAGCCTATATTAAATTTACTCCAGGGCCCCGGGTTGGAGTCCTTATTGCACAATTACAAATTAAAGGGAAGAAGATCAAATTGTCCGGTGTTTGTATGAAGAGGAATATCAATTTTAGCCATCTCCTTCTGCCTGAGTTTAAACATGGACACACACACACCCATACCAGCCCATTCTCCATTATAATGTGTACATACTTTGACACTCATAAGTACACTTGTTAATGTCACCCATTTGGCAGTAGGACCTTAAACCTGTACTGACATGAACAGTATGTCATCACAGTGACGTCACACATCTCTCCCACACCATATCAGACAACATTTTATCTCCTATTTTCCTTAGATTAGGTTCAAATTGGTTTGTTTATCGAGAAGGGAAGACGTGAAATGGTGCACGCTTTTATCAGGTCTTAAACCTTATGCTCGAGTTTGATCCTTGATTCTTGCTCAACCGCTTCCCTTTATTTCGTTGGTTCCCTTGGGCAGTGAGTTGAAAAAATAACTTTCCAAAGTTTATTTTACAGTTAAAATTGCATCTTAAGACATCACCCTCAAGCGTGGGGAGAGTGTGGGAGGGGAGAATGTGGGTGGGTGGGAATGGTGGTGGGGGAATGCTGGGGAGGGGTGGGGGGAGAGTGTTGGTGTTGTAATTATATGGGGGGTGATAATGGGAGGTTGAGCGCGCGCACGTGTGTGTATGTGTGTATGTGTGTGTGTGTGTGTGTGTGTGTGAGAGAGAGAGAGAGAGAGAGAGAGAGAGAGAGAGAGAGAGAGAGAGAGAGAGAGAGAGAGAGAGAGAGAGAGAGAGAGAGAGAGAGAGAGAGAGAGAGAGAGAGAGAGAGAGAGAGAGAGAGAGAGAGAGAGAGAGAGAGAGAGAGAGAGAAGGTGGTGGGGAAGGAAGGATGGAGTGGGATAAGAAGCAGAAACAGCTGAGTAACATCAGGAGAGATAAGGAACTGCAGACACAGGGGGAAGCATAAGTCATTAGTGGCAAGACTGACAGCCTCGTTATCTTACGTGCTGACAGCAGAGAGAATGAGCCGGTAATTAGGGTCAGGCTAACACGGAGAGGACTCGGGCTGGTGATTAAGAAGGCCTTCATAGTAAGGATGATGAGGCGATCAGTGAGGTTCCTTTGATGGTCTCATCCTGTAGTGATTTTGGTCTCTGCATCTGAACTTATTTCCTTCCCTATACTGTAGGCCGCAGCTTTAGCGAACCTGGCATGAGGACAGGCTGATAAATGTTTCAGCCAGGTTCCATTTTCTTTGAAGTTTCCATTCTCTTAGAAGTTTTCATTTTTCTAGACGTTTCCATCTTCCTAGAAGTTTCAAACTCTGGAAGTTTCCATCTTTCTAGAAGTCATCGTGCTAAAAGTTTCCATCCTCTTAGACGTTTCTGTCGAGCTAGAAGCTTCCATCGCTCTAAGTTTCCGTCTTGCTAGAAGTTTCCATCGTGCTAAAAGTTTCTATCCTCCTAGAAGTTTCCATCCCCCTTAGAAATCGATGATTTCTCATAAGTCTCCACCGTCCAAGAATCTAATTTCTCAAGCGACGTTCATTCCCAAGGTTTCCTAACTTCTCTCCAACTTCCACATTTTCCTTCTCCTTCATCTTGGCCTCGCACCTCATCTTCTGCGTCACTGGACTCTGGCTGAGGCTGCAAAATTCAACAAATTTGTCCCTCCATTTACCGGAAACTGACGGGAGGCTCAAAGCACGGCCGAGGGTGCCCGGGGAGTGGTGGGGACTCATCTGCAAGGGTGATTAAAAGCCTAATGTATGCAGAATGAAGGAAGATAGGAGGCCAGGAGAGGAAAAGGAAGGAGTAATGGAAGGATGAAGGAGGAACAGGGAAAGAGACCAGGAGATAAGAGAAGGAGGAGGAAGGTTGCGGATGGTGCCATTCCTTCATCTTGTCCTGTGTGAGTGAAGGGAACAAGTATTAAGCCCAAGAGAGCGGCAGCAACGACCCGCTGGGAAAGTTGATGAGCTTCGCCTACAGTTCTCTTCTCTACTTCTTATTTTCTGGGGCTTTTGAAACCTGAGATGTTTCATCCTCACCTGGACACGACCAAACCCGTCTTCAGGCTATGTTCGTCCAAGCTGCGACCGTCTCCAAACCCGTTCTTAGGCTATGTTCGTCCAAGCTGCAACCGTCCCCAAACCCGTTCTTAGGCTATGTTCGTCCAAGCTGCAACCTTCCCCAAACCCGTTCTTAGGCTATGTTCGTCCAAGCTGCGGCCGGTGCTAAACACTCATTTATCAGTTTTAAAATACAGTAGGTATATTCAAAATGAGTATTTTCTCATTTTAAATTGAGATTATTATGCATTAGAATTTAGTGTATAGTTAGGCGTAAGTTAGTTTAGGTGTTTAGGTTCTGTTTAAATTATTAGTATTTGAAGTGCGTGGGTGAAGCATTATGCAGAGGAGCGATTCAAACATAAAATGTATGCGAAGCCCTTTTCGAAAAATGTTGGAACGGAATCAGTAGTGAGCAGTGAGTAAAGTGTTTTTCACTCTTAAACAGTCTTACCATTCAAAAGACTTGCCAGTCTCCTGTCTTGTCAATCACCAGTCAATACCAGTCACCAGGTTTACCAATCGCCAGTCTTGCATCCTTTCCGCGCGCCTGTTATGCCAGTCACCATCATTAACACTCATGCCTGATCGATAACCAGTCCCTCCCGACTGTAATGTATGTGTTTTGATTTCGTAATTTCAGGGAAACATTATAGGTGTTGTGGAGTTGCGCGCTAGACAGGAAATCAATGGCTTCCATTACCGTGCAGCCTAGTGTAGAGAGCCGGCGACCTCAGGCTTCTCCAACACTCTTTATTTCCATCCCGACCAATTTTTTCCAGCCGGCAAAATTTGCTCGAGTGACGTTAAATCAACGTTATGAACCAGGCATAAACATAGTAAAATGACGTTAAAGCAACGTACGTATCAGACAGGCGAAATATCTTCGAGTAACGTTTGCCCAGATTTGTCCATGAAGGGGCGGGAATCTGGCCAAATGACGTAGTGTAACACCAAATCTTCGTTGAAAACGTTAATGTAAAATGAATCTACGTTGATGTAAATTAGTTAATGTTGATCCAACGTCGATTAAACGTTACTCGAGCACATTTGGTCTTCTTGGGATATATATATATATATATATATATCGACAAACTAACACACTTCGTAGCAATGTAGTTCACACTGCTCCTCCTGCTTCTAATGCTGCTGGTGTCTATTTCCTGTTCGTCTTGTTCTGTTGTAACGATCCCAGGTTCGACTCCTCACAGGCTGCAGTTCTACACTGATGCCCAAACATGAGCTAATCTGGTTTGCATTTGTAGACCTTTTTTTGCAGATTTTCACATTTTGATATTTAAGTAAATGATTATGTAAACTTTTGAACCGGACTGTTAATATCAACTATTAGAATAACATCCCATTTTCCGTTGTCTTGGGAGTCATATAGTCCTTACCTGTTTCTCTGGTCCCAGATTCACGAAGCAGTTACGCAAGTACTTACGAACGTGTACATCTTTCCTCAATATTTGACGGCTTTGGTAACATTTATAAGACAGTTTACAAGCATGAAAACTTGTCAATCAATTGTTGTTATTGTTATAAACAGCCTCCTGGTGCTTCGGAGCTCATTAACTGTTTAATCATTGTAAACAAAGCCGCCAAAGATTGAGAAAAGATGTACAGGTTCGCAAGTCCTTGCGTAACTTCTTTGTGAATCTGGCCCCATTCACCTACAAGGATGAAGTGTTGATATAGATTTTGATATAGAAACTCCCAAGATACATTATTATTATCATTATTATTGAGAAAACCAATATGAGTCATGAGGCTTTTCCACGTTCATGTGATTTAATTATGTATTACTATTATTATTATTATTAATTTATCCGTAATTTATCATATTTACTTTAGGTTATCTGCGTGTTGAACCACATGACCCCAGACGCTGTAATATTGGTGGTACCAATCGTTTCATCCGTATAGTTAGACGGTGTCTTCTGTCTCCGGTAACAGCATGTACTACGGCTGGCGTGGACCCCCCATAGCTAAGGATCCCAGTAAGTAAACTTCAATAAAGTTACATATTTCACTTTTATTACAAACCTTTATTGTTTACACAGACCTCTGTGTGAGGGGGGAAGTCAGTTACAGGTTCATATAGACGTGTGTGTGTGTGCGTGTGCGTGTGTGTGAGTGTGTGTGTGGGGGGGGGAGGCGTTTGAGTTGGTGATTGGCACACAAAATCAGTTGAGTTTTTTTTTAATTATTTAGTTTTGTTTGGTGTTACGGAGGGAAAAGTGAGTGCGTCCACTTATTCGTACTAACAAATGCTCGCACTTTATACTTATGCTAACCAAAAAGCAAAACTTTCAAGGTTATTGGTATACTTACACCCACTAATATACTGTAACTCACATGGGTGTACTAACATAAACATGCTCATAAACCAAAATTAACACTTACACACAGGCACACACGGACACACACGGACACACACGGACACACACAGGCACACACGGGCACACACGGACACACACAGGCACACACAGGCACACACGGACACACACGGACACACACGGACACACACAAACACACAGACACACACGGACACACACAGGCACACACAGGCACACACGGACACACACGGACACACACGGACACACACAGGCACACACGGACACACACGGACACACACGGACACACACAGGCACACACGGACACACACGGACACACACGGACACACACGGACACACACAGGCACACACAGGCACACACGGACACACACGGACACACACAGGCACACACAGGCACACACACACACACACACACACACACACACACACACACACACACACACACACACACACACACACACACACACACACACACACACACACACACTTCAACTAGGTGAACACACACACACACACACTTCAACTAGGTGAACACACACACACACACACACACACACACACACACACACACACACACACACACACACACACACACACACACACACACACACACTCCTTTACATTATAAAGCATATATTCACTATCAATACTTCACAGACTCACAATAATATACTCATACAGCTAAACGGTGACAAAACTCGTAAACATACACACTCACAAAAATACACAAACATACAAACCTACCTTGCCATACACTGTTCTAGCATCTGTTCAGGAAAGGCTGCTCTTATATATATATATATATATATATATATATATATATATATATATATATATATATATATATATATATATATATAATATATATATATATATATATATATATATATATATATATATATATATATATATATATATATATATATATATATATATATATATACTTAGAAAATATGTTTTTTACACTATGATGTTATATTTTCAGTCTGTCTCTTGTCGTATATCATTTTACAATATATATTATAAAAACAGGTGTGACCCTCTTGATGTGAGGTATGAGTTTATCACTGAAAGGTCATGTTATTCATGCCTTATTCACTAGCCAGTCAGGTTATTCATGATTCACTCATCAAGAGTAAGAAACATCTTCCAATGAATATTTTCTGAATGGTAATAATATTATAGAGTTCGCCCCAGTACATATACACCTGGGAGTCATATATATATATAAGTCACATTGCACATGTGGATGGCCTGAGTGCTCACATATGAGAAACGAGGAAATGTTCACTTGTGTTCAATAATCCCCGCGGGTTCGACACCCGGCGTTCTTAATATACTTATTTTTCCTATGTACACATTGACGTATACAGACAGTTTCATATTTATACATACACATGCATATTTATACACATGCATATACTGTACATAAACATGCGTATATACTTTTAGCTGGGATATACATATAAATATGCATATACATATACATTTACTTAGCATAATGAAACAGCTTTACGTCATTTAATTATAAAATATTAACAAATTGAAAGAGAGAGAGAGAGAGAGAGAGAGAGAGAGAGAGAGAGAGAGAGAGAGAGAGAGATCAACTAATCAACTTCGTAAATCTATTTTCATTATGTTAAGAAAATGTTAAAAAAAAATACAATTGAAGCTCACTTTACAGAGCTGTAGTAAACATTTGGACAATCATCAATATTTTGAAAGATATCTATTTTCAAAGATATCTATTTTCATTTTTATTTTTTTTTTTACCAATAAGGCGATTCCATATTTGTATCATCTCTATTCTAAGTGAAATATCAAAAGTACAAAGGCCTTATATTGTCATTTATAAATCATTTTGTGCTTGACAGTGATAAAGAATACAATAGTTTCTCTATGTAAGAAAAATACAAATACAGCGATACAGCAATTCATTCTACACATACAACGGCTCAATAAGTTCCTATACAAACTTGAACAATTTTACTATAAGACTCATAGCAATGTTAACTTAGTTTTCTAAGAGTTTATGAGAGTTCTAGAGCAGTACTAGAGGTCCATGTCACTGTCCTAGAGCAGCACTAGAGGTCCATGTCACTGTCCTAGAGCAGCACTAGAGGTCCATGTCACTGTCCTAGAGCAGCACTAGAGGTCCATGTCACTGTCCTAGAGCAGCACTAGAGAGCCATGTCACTGTCCTAGAGCAGCACTAGAGGTCCATGTCACTGTCCTAGAGCAGCACTAGAGGTCCATGTCACTGTCCTAGAGCAGCACTAGAGGTCCATGTCACTGTCCTAGAGCAGCACTAGAGGTCCATGTCACTGTCCTAGAGCAGCACTAGAGGGCCATGTCACTGTCCTAGAGCAGCACTAGAGGTCCATGTCACTGTCCTAGAGCAGCACTAGAGAGCCATGTCACTGTCCTAGAGTAGCACTAGAGAGCCATGTCACTGTCCTAGAGCAGCAATTGAGGCCCATATCACTGTCCTAGAGCAGCACTAGAGGCCCATATCACTGTCCTAGAGCAGCACTAGAGGCCCATATCACTATCCTAGAGTCGCTTTAGAGGCCCATATCACTGTCCTAGAGCAGCACTAGAGGCCCATATCACTGTCCTAGAGCAGCACTAGAGGCCCATATCACTGTCCTAGAGCAGCACTAGAGGCCCATATCACTGTCCTAGAGCAGCACTAGAGGCCCATATCACTGTCCAAGAGCAGCACTAGAGGCCCATATCACTATCCTAGAACAGCACTAGAGGCCCATATCACTATCCTAGAGTCGCGCTAGAGGCCCATATCACTATCCTAGAGTCGCGCTAGAGGGGCCCCCTTCATATCACTATCATAGAGCAGCACTAGAGTCCCTCATAGCACTACCCTAGAGCAGCTCTAGAAGCTCTTATATAATTGCAACTATGTACACATGTCATCATTCCTAAAGTCATTATAAATTATCACAAACCATACTTAACATTTTGGTATCTCTTGAAATATTAATTTGTTCTATATTGTCTCTCTCTACAACAAGTAGATGAGACATAGATCGTCTACTTGCCATGTAGGTGTAAACTACTGTAAACTCTACATGTAAAGCTCAACAATAGCTCTTAGGGGGCGTGAGTCTACCGTCCGTGGGGGGGGGGGGGTAAGTCTACCGTCCGTGGGGGGTCTACCGTCCGTGGGGGGTCTACCGTCCGTGGGGGTCTACCGTCCGTGGGGGGCTTGGGTTTACCGTCCGTGGGGGGCGTGGGTCTACCGTCCGTGGGGGGCGTGGGTCTACCGTCCGTGGGGGGCGTGGGTCTACCGTCCGTGGGGGGCGTGGGTCTACCGTCCATGGGAGGAATAAGTACACTGTCCGTATGAGGCAGTAAATCAGTTGTCTAGTTGATCGCCAGTAACTCAGTTGCGTCAAATTGATCGCCAGTAACTCAGTTGCGTCAAATTGATCGCCAGTAACTCAGTTGCGTCAAATTGATCGCCAGTAACTCAGTTGCGTCAAATTGATCGCCAGTAACTCAGTTGCGTCAAATTGATCGGCAGTAACTCAGTTGCGTCAAATTGATCGCCAGTAACTCAGTTGCGTCATATTCAAGAATAAACTACTTATACCATCGACAACAAATATAAAAAGTTCAGTCCATTTGGTCTATTTCTCTTGGCTAAGATACCGGGCTAGGATAATAATCATATTCAACTATATAAATTATATAATAAACTTATTATCACAAGCTTTAAAATAATAAAATATCAAAACATTTGGTTGATTGATTTACCAGAAACTTAATGACAAATAAAATGATACAAATTAGGTTGTGAAGTGATAAGAGATTTTAGTTTCAACAAATTATTTTCTAATTTACACCGAATATCGATCCTAACTTTTTAGGCTCTAAAAATTTAATAACGGTGGTATACATTTTATAGATTTAGGATTAAGGATTAAATAAGGAACGATATAATGTGGAATGATTGAGTTTAGAAGGGAATAAGGCTGACATTCTACCGTGAGACGTTGGGGGTGCCTGTCATGGCGGCCGCTTGAATTCCTAATATATATATACTCTGCGCTTGCTTAATACAGCAGCCTTCTTCATTAAATAGTTAATAAACGTGTTTGAAAATCATTTATGGTGTTTACAGCTAAAAAAAAAACATTTTATATACTGTATAATGTTTGGAAACTATGCTGTTTACCTTTTGTTTATTTTATTCGATCCTTACATGGAGCAGCTCGCCGCCAACACCAGCTGTGATTTCCTTCCCTATCACTACCTGCACCACCACCAGCTGTGACTGGCCCTCACCATCACCAGCTGTGACTGGCCTCACCATCACCAGCTGTGACTGGCCTCACCATCACCAGCTGTGACTGGCCTCACCATCACCACCACCAGCTGTGACTGGCCTCACCATCACCACCACCAGCTGTGACTGGCCTCACCATCACCAGCTGTGACTGGCCTCACCATCACCAGCTGTGACTGGCCTCACCATCACCAGCTGTGACTGGCCTCACCATCACCAGCTGTGACTGGCCTCACCATCACCAGCTGTGACTGGCCTCACCATCACCACCACCAGCTGTGACTGGCCTCACCATCACCAGCTGTGACTGGCCTCACCATCACCACCACCAGCTGTGACTGGCCTCACCATCACCACCACCAGCTGTGACTGGCCCCTCACCATCACCATCACCAGCTGTGAGTATATCTTAGTCCTTGCAGCTACATTGACTCACACATTCCACCGTTGTCTCTTCTCTGCAGCATTTATCTACGTCTACCCATCGCCTTGATAGGTAGACGTCACTTCTGCCATATGACGTCTACCTATATTGACGTCACTTCTGCCATGTCATAAGCTTATCCCCCAGAGACGTTTCTTAAACGCCCAGACAACTCGAATATGCTCTAAGATCACCCCCAGGAATTCTTTAAGGCCAGGTTAATTCTTCCCGGTACTCTGGAACTTCTCAGTCATGCACGCCTTGGTTTGTGTTACTGGCCATTGACTTACTGCTCTCCTCATAATTATATTACGTTCCCTTTTTGTTATTGTTCACCTATGAGATTTGAAACATGACTAGGCTTTCTGCTCTTATGATGATGATTAGGCTTTCTGCTCTTATGATGATGACTAGGCTTTCCGCTCTTCTTATGATGAATAGGCTCATCCTTCAACACACCAGGTGACGATATCTCTCAACCTACAGATCTGCGAAAGTCCCTCCATTCTACCCTACACATACGAGGAAGTTCTTCCTCCACCCACATATCCTGGCAGGCTCTCCCCTCCACCAAAAAAAGATAGTGAACTCTTTAATAAATACAGATTAAGCCACCATGATCGGAGAATGATGGACAGGTTTCGTGAGTGGACACGTGTGATTGATGACTTTTTGCCAGAGTTAAATGTTTTCCCAACGTCCTTTATCTGTACTCACAGAAGAACCGCCGGTTGAACTTTATCTTAACCTTATATTTTTTTCCTTCCCCAAGGGTATGCGTTGTTAAGTGAGCAAATTTAGTTTTGCAATAAGTTATCTGAAAAGTTGTCACCGCCTTCATAACCCAAGTTACTCTCACCAGCTTGTCAACAGATAACACACAAGGTCACAATAACTATCCAGATGAGGGATATATATATCTATATACACTACTCTGTGCTGACTCGGTCTGTAGTGCGGCTGCCGGCCAGAGAATGGCTAATTAGGTCATAATTAGGTCATACCTGCCACCCTCCGGCCTGACAAACACCTCCACCTTCACCAACTCAAAACACAACCACCCCTCTATCACCAACACATGCACCACCACGGTCAACCTCCACCAATATACACCACCAAAGATAAAGCAACATCCATTGTTCATGAATCACATGGTGGAGGTCTTATCAGCGGGGTCGTGCGCCGACATTCTCTTGCCTCTCCTCTTAGCCACCGCCGCTCTCCCGCCCCCAACACTCATGCTGGCAGTCCTGGTGGTGCCACTAACACTCCCTCCTCTCGTACTCCCTCCAACACTGGCCTTAGTGCCCGCACTCATGCTGGCAGTCCTCACACCTCTGGAGCTGGCGCCCACACTGCCCGCCCTCATGCTGCCCCCTTCCGGCTGCTCCACCATGAGTCTGGCGCGGGCTGCCGGAGTGTGGCTCAGCTTGGGGTTGGGGATACAGGCGTACACCGGTCTGTACAGCAGCACGGACTCCGGGTTGTTGTCCATCCCGCCGTCGTACACCTGGCCAAGCTGGAACTCTGGTCCGATGTACAGGCCGCCTTCCACGTGGTCGCAGCACACGCCTGGGGACCAAGCACGGGGTTAGATGGAGATCACAGATGTCCTCAACTCTGACTCCGGGATTGATCAATGGTGTTAGTTTCTCCTTGTGTGTAAATAGGCCTACTGCAATGTATAATTAGTGAGATGTATAGTTATTTGAGTGTTGAACTATTTGGATGTATCGTTATTAGTTTGTGAATAATACAAAATGGTGTCAGTAGAAAGCGTGAAAAGCTTAGTTGTGGGACGTGTGTCGACGGTGTGGTTGGTGAAGTGTGTGGATAGTTGAGGTAAGGTGAAGCTGTCTAGTCTTTGGTGGTGTTGGTGTAGTGAGGGATAGTTAGTTGGGACGCGGTTAGTGGCAGTGATTAGTGGTGGTGTGAGGTGTGAGGGGTGGGTTAGTGGCACTGTGAGGTGTGAGGGGTGGGTTAGTGGGGGTTATCTTTAAGGTGTGGCTGAGGAACGTCGCTCTGGCTGATGAAGGGTGATGATGATGTTGATGGAACATCATGGACATTCTCAACACTGACAACATTGATACCATCACTCCATCAACACTGATGTTGATGGAGTGAGGGGTTACTAGTGAGGTTTAATTTCATTCATTTATTTTTTATTTATTTATTTAATTATACTCAAGGAAGTTCATTGGGTTTGTGAGAGTATATAACATTGGTGTATATGTGTTCTGACATGCAGGCAAAGCCACTAACAACGATAGCATTTCGGGCAGAAATCAACAGAAATCAAATCAGATGGAATCAACAACCTATTGTACATCATTGGACGCCATAGAGACAATTCAAAATTCAAAAATTCAAATGTTTATTTAGGTAAAATACATACATACAAGGGGTGATACAAAAATTGATGAATTTATAGATAGAGCTAGTACATACAATGCCTAAAGCCACTATTACGCACAGCGTTTCGGGCAGGCAAAGCGTGAAGCAAAACAATGAAGCACAATAAGCTGGTGGCTTATCGTCCGCCACGTTTCGGTCCAGGACGGATCGAAACGTTGACGATACTTCACTTTCAGATGTTTGGGTTAGATGTAAAGTACTTCATGTACTGCGCAATTAGAAGTGAGTGGAGGGGATGATAGCATACAACGACGCACACCACAGTTGATGGGCATCAACACACAAGTAGCTTGAAATAAGTTGATTGCAGGAATGATGAGGTTTGCCAGCTTGAAGAATAAAGCTTTAGCATTAGGCTGCTGGGACTTACTGTAGGTGATGTGTGGCTGCTGGGACTTAATGTAGGTGATGTGGGGCTGCTGGGACTTACTGTAGGTGATGTGGGGCTGCTGGGACTTAATGTAGGTGATGTGGGGCTGCTGGGACTTACTGTAGGTGATGTGGGGCTGCTGCTGGGACTTACTGTAGGTGATGTGGGGCTGCTGGGACTTACTGTAGGTGATGTGGGGCTGCTGGGACTTACTGTAGGTGATGTGGGGCTGCTGCTGGGACTTACTGTAGGTGATGTGGGGCTGTTGTTGGGACTTACTGTAGGTGATGTGGGGCTGCTGCTGGGACTTACTGTAGGTGATGTGGGGCTGCTGCTGGGACTTACTGTAGGTGATGTGGGGCTGCTGCTGGGACTTACTGTAGGTGATGTGGGGCTGTTGCTGGGACTTACTGTAGGTGATGTGGGGCTGCTGGGACTTACTGTAGGTGATGTGGGGGCTGCTGGGACTTACTGTAGGTGATGTTGGGCTGTTTCTGGGACTTACTGTAGGTGATGTGGGGCTGCTGGGACTTACTGTAGGTGATGTGGGGCTGCTGGGACTTACTGTAGGTGATGTGGGGCTGCTGCTGGGAGTTTGGGATACGGAATGGGACGGTGGCGATGGTTAAAGGGAAGTGCATGTGGAGATCCTCCCCAGATTTGCTCATCAAGATGTTCACCTGAAAGGAGATACGGGTTTGTGGTCAACGAGAGGTGGTTTGTGGTCAACGAGAGGGGGGGGGGTTGTGGTCAACGATATCTACAATATCACTTAAAGAAAATTATATAAAATAATATATTCACATAGAGTCATAAAGTCTATTGGAAACCTCGACAACAATTTATCAAGCATTTACGAAACCTGTACATCTTTCCTCAATCATAGCGGCTTGGTTTTTACTTATTATACAGTTTATGAGTTTGGGAGCGCCCTGAGGCTGTTCTCGACCTCAAAAGCCAAGATTCACGAAGCAGTTACGCAAGCATTTACGAACCTGTACATCTTTTCTCAATCTTTGGCGGCTTTGTTTACAATTATTAAACAGTTAATGAGCTCCGAAGCACCAGGAGGCTGTTTATAACAATAACAACAGTTGATTGGCAAGTTTTCATGCTTGTAAACTGTTTAATAAATGTAAACAAAGCCGTCAAAGATTGAGGAAAGATGTACACGTTCGTAAGTACTTGCGTAACTGCTTCGTGAATCTGGCCCTGTTGTTAGTGGTAGGACCTCATCGAAGCGCTTCGGAACTCATCAACGGTTACATCAATACAAAGCCGCCATGAGTGAGGGAGAGATGCAGAGGTTTCGCAAGCGATTGCGTCAGAGGACTCACCTTGAGAACGTAGTAGATCTGCAGGAGTCTGCACACACCGATGAGTGTCGGGGGCATAACGGGTACCACCAGGCTCTGAGAGGAGTCGAACTTCCATCTGGTACCTGGGGCTACCGGGTCCCCGGTGTACTCCAGTACCGGGTGCTGCACGTCCTTGGTCACCCCCAGTACTCCCCGGTCCAGGAAGTACTCCACATACTGACAAGAGCCACCATATACCGCTGCTTATAGTACACTACTTAACCTCCTACGGCTCTCAATATATTTACCAAGCAAATATTCAACGTCACCATGACGTCATATTAACGTTGTATACATGCCATATTAACGTTGTATATACGTCATATTAACGTTGTATATACGTCATATTAACGTTGTGCATACATCATATCAACATTGTACATACGTTATATTAACGTTGTATATACACGGCATATTAACGTTGTATATACGTCATATCAACGTTGTATATGCGGCATATGGACGTTATATTACCGTTGTGTAGACGTCATATTAACGTTGTATATACGTCATATTAACGTTGTATAAGCGTAGTAACATTGCTGGGGATTATATAATTTCCCTATTCCTTAATAAACGTACGGTAAGCAGGACCTAGTACGAAAAAAGCTAATATTAAGCACCGGAAAATGTAATTTGAAGGGATAATAAAGTAAAAATAACAGACTTACACCACTGAGGACACTGAAAATGTAAATATTATAAAGACTCCTCAAATTACAAGGAAAATAAAGACAAACTTGTGAACAAGAAAAACAGTGTAAACTTTGCTTTACAAGAGGACAAAGAAAAAAATAATGGACAAAATAGATAGATAATTGATAGATAAACGCTGTTGGATAGTTACTGTTAAGTGGTCGCTGACCGATAAGCAATAACAGATAGTCAATGATAGATAAGCAGTGATGGACAGTCATTGATAGACTGTCTGACAGACAGTCACGGATAGATAGATAGCCAGATGGTGACAAACAGGTAGCCAGCATGTCTCACCTGGACGAGCTTAAGCTTGAGTCTGATCTCCTCCTCGCTCTGGTTATCAATGTCCGCCTTAAGCTTGATACTCTCCCCACAGACGTAAGCTGTGCGCTCTAGCTGGGTCCGCAGAGAGACGGGGCCACGCTTGCAGCACAGACAGCACAGCGCTCTCTTGTCATGTCCCACCATAGGCTTCTGTCTCACCCCCGTCCACCACACACACACGGAGACAGACAGAACAGTCATTTAACAGTTGTTAAGTAACGGGACAGAGAACAGTAATCATGAGAACATAAGAATTAAGACGCAGCCTACAGCGTTTGAAATTCTAGTTCTAAATTCATGTTGAAATTCAAGTTCTAAATTCATATTGAAATTCTAGTTCTAAATTCATATTGAAATTCTAATTCTAAATTCATGTTGAAATTCTAGTTCTAAATTCATGTTGAAATTCTAGTTCTAAATTCATGTTGAAATTCTAGTTCTAAATTCATGTTGAAATTCTAATTCTAAATTCATGTTGAAATTCTAGTTCTAAATTCATGTTGAAATTCTAATTCTAAATTCATGTTGAAATTCTAGTTCTAAATTCATGTTGAAATTCAAGTTCTAAATTCATGTTGAAATTCTAATTCTAAATTCATGTTGAAATTCAAGTTCTAAATTCATGTTGAAATTCTAGTTCTAAATTCATGTTGAAATTCTAGTTCTAAATTCATGTTGAAATTCTAGTTCTAAATTCATGTTGAAATTCTAGTTCTAAATTCATGTTGAAATTCTAGTTCTAAATTCATGTTGAAATCCTCCCTTTTTATCCACCCACAAACCAATCCCGAGATTGACACAGGGTGATTGTGAGAAAAAATAATCAATTCACAATAAAGGAACCAAGAGTATATGTGGGGGAACCCCAAGTTAATTTCAATAATAATGATTAATTTGGGAATAACAGAATGATAATGGAAGGTTGTGAGATATTAAAGATATCATTAGTGGAGGGAGGAAATATTTCAACGTGGGAATGTGGTAATTGAGGAGAGTGAGTGAGGGGAGAGGTGTGATGTGAGGGGAACAGGACAGGTGTGAGGGGAACAAGACAGGTGTGATGTAAGGGGAACAGGACAGGTGTGAGGGGAACAAGACAGGTGTGATGTAAGGGGAACAGGACAGGTGTGAGGGGAGAGGTGTGATGTAAGGGGATGTCGGAAAATCCGACACCATGTAATAATCATACAGATAATAACTGTATTACCAACAAGTTAACCATAGAAAACGTAACTTGTAGTGGAATTACCGTCTATAGAAAACGGGATATCATCACCACATACTATTATAATTCACCAGCTATTCTGCTGGGAATTGTTCTTAAATACATTAGTCTTTGGACTTTACCATCATAAAAACATCTTATATAAATTAACTTAATTATCAATATTAAAGTAGAGTAAATGTGACCCTTCTATCACTTTCTGAAATGTGGACAATGTAAGCCAGGCGTCAGAGTGAGGAGGGGGGCAGCCATTGTTGTGTCACCTCCGAGACGTGTGGAGCGAGTACGGCTCCTATCATTCTGGACAATGTCGGCCAGTAACGTCAATAGAATGGAGTGTTAAACAGCCATTGTTTATTGAGACCAGAGGCTCACACGGGAGCAAATTCGGCTCCTGTTAAATTTACTTGGACGTAGTGTTATGGAACCCAAAGGTGTACCATTGTCAACACGCTGTCTACAAATTCAAGTTAAGTGTCTATCCGAAACCCGTTTATCATTCATTTATGGCCATTAATGTCAGGATATAGGGTTAGCCGGTTAGAACGCGAAATCGCCTCATACTAAAGGTAATTAAGCCAGGTCTTTAATGTTCCATGTACTGTATAGTGTTTTCTCTGATATAGCTTGTCATATATAGGATTCTGGCTTCACAGCTAGCGCACTTTTGACAGGTCAAGACGAGGATGCAAGATTATGTGCACCAGTTACTGGGTGATAGAAGCTACCTCAAAGAGGATAATTTGGTGTCTACACTCTAGTTATACCTGGTGGACTAACCTGCTGTACTATAAGAGAAGGAACCTCATCAATGTATGTAGCTATTACTGTAATTTGATTGGCTGCATATGTGTAATATAAACCCCCCCTAATGTGTAGAGGATCGATTTGTGAGATTATGAGATTATTGCAGAAATACAGTCCACTTATCATTATACAAATTGCTATCGAAGTATACAAATTAACGTAAATATAAATTCATATAAATTAAATAAATATAAATCTCACAGGTCGGTTCCCACAGGGGAACAGGACAGGTGTGTTGTAAGGGGAACAGGACAGGTGTGAGGGGAACAAGACAGGTGTGATGTAAGGGGAATAGAACAGATGTAAGGGGAACAGGACAGGTGTGATGTAAGGGGAACAGAACAGGTGTGAGAGGAACAGGACAGGTGTGATGTAAGGGGAATAGAACAGGTGTGTGATAAACAGGACAATAAAGCATACATGACGTGTTTGACCATTAAAATCACCTGTGATGCTTCTTTAAGCAATTCAACTTCCGAAGAAGCCATAACTACAGAACTGTGAAACCACAAGGTATCAATTAATAATTCTTAATTCTGTGTGTACAACCAAAAACATGTACAATCAACCTACCACAACCAACCACACAGGAATGCATTAGGATTCAATGCATTCCATAAAAATGGAATGCATTAGGGGGTGATGTGGTGGAGGCTGACTCCATACACAGATTCAGGTATAGATATGAGAGCCCAGTAGGCTCAGGAACCCGTACACCTGTTGATTGACGGTTGAGAGGCGGGACCAAAGAGCCAAAGCTCAACCCCCGCAATCACAACTAGGTGAGTACAACCAACCAGCCACAACCAACCAGCCACAACCAGCCACAAACAACCAGTCACAACCAACCAGCCACAACCAACCAGCCACAACCAGCCAGCCACAACCAACCAGCCACAACCAACCACCAACACTCAACCAGCCACAACCAACCAGCCACAACCAACCAGCCACAACCATCCAGCCACAACCAACCAGCCACAACCATCCAGCCACAACCAACCAACCACAACCAACCAGCCACAACCATCCAGCCACAACCAACCAGCCACAACCAACCAGCCACAACCAACCAGCCACAACCAACCAGCCACAACCATCCAGCCACAACCATCCAGCCACAACCAACCAGCCACAACCAACCAGCCACAACCAACCAGCCACAACCATCCAGCCACAACCAACCAGCCACAACCAACCAGCCACAACCAACCAGCCACAACCATCCACCCACAACCAACCAACCAACCAGCCACAACCAACCACCAACACTCAACCAGCCACAACCAACCAGCCACAACCAACCAGCCACAACCAACCAGCCACAACCATCCACCCACAACCAACCAACCAACCAGCCACAACCAACCAGCCACAACCATCCACCCACAACCAACCAACCAACCAGCCACAACCAACCAGCCACAACCAACCAGCCACAACCAACCAGTCACCAATATTAACAACAGCGTCTCTCAGTCATCCGGAGTTTTCAATTTCAACTTGAAGAGAAAAGATTCCGATATAAGAGGAGCATTTTTCCTCCTCTTTGACAAAGTTCTTTAAAGGGTTTTGTCAGTAATGAAAACAGACTTTGGCGGCAGACTCGCTCCTCAGACTTTTCCAAAGGGGAAGGGGGAGGATATTATGTGTTTCTGGTGTATTAAGTCGTTTTGTTGGGGACAGGAAGCCTGTGTATATATTATATGACACATATTATATGTCTGTGACAGAGCACCAGGCAGCGAGGTGAAGGGTGACAATTGAACAATTCAAACACGTCTAACGACCAATAATCATCGTTAAACAAGTTCAACTCACCTCTGCGTTGCTCAATGTGTCGTCTGGGTATTACAAACAAACCTGTATTCACACACACGTTTTTTTTTTTTTTTTTTTTGCAAGTTTTAATTTAGTAACTACAATAACCTTTGTTCCGTAACAATGTATTGCCGTTTAATGAATGTAGCTTTGTTGTTGTTGTTGTTATGACAAAGATTCTGTGCTCCGGACAATGTTTTTGTCCCCCCCCCCCTTTAGTGGATGATATTTCCTACTGGCATACTTGTCAGTTGTCAGTCATCGTCAGTCATCGGTTCAGCTACTGGGAACAAAAGGTTGCAAGTAGCACCGGCTATGGGGAGCCCGTAGTGGACTTAACCTGGCACAGGAGCGGGGCTGTGTGTGGTATGAAGTCGTGGTCTTCCACTTCATCTTGCATCATTCATTGCTTATATATATATATATATATATATATATATATATATATATATATATATATATATATATATATATATATATATATATATAAAGGGTAAGCTTTAAACATTACGCCTACATATTTACCTAGGAACACCACATATTTAAGGTTGTACATATCGTGTACTGCAGCGTGTCCACCCCTCTGTCTGTCTCACCCGACGGGTGTCTGTCCACCCCTCTGTCTGTCTCACCCGTCTGTCTGTCTCAACCGTCTAATGTATATCTGATCTGAGATGCGTTCAATTTTCTGATTCGATAAACTAAGTTTCCTAACGTGTTCTGGGATTCTCGGTTCTCTTCCTCACTTTGTAGTAGCTCCTGGGCCCCTGTTTCCAAATGTTCGCATGTGTGGGTACGTTTGTGTGCATGTGGGAGTGCGTGTGTGTGAGCATGAGGACATGTGTGAATGTGTGTGTGTGTGTGTGTGAGAGAGGACGCAGGCTGATCTCATGATTGGCCACAATGTACGACATTCAGATTGCTAGCCTAATTAGGAACGCACAAACCCAAGCAACCCAACAAACCCAAGCTACCGATGCATGCAAAATGAGGTGGATTTTTGTGACGCGGTACTTTCCATAGTACTCTGTAAGGTAGGGGCCATTACGTACAGAATGGGACGTAGTAGTGGTTGAGAAAATTATGTGTTTGCCTGAAACATTCACTTCCTCGTATCCACCATCCATTTTACCTTTATTCATTTCTCCCATTCCCTCTTACCCATCACGTTGTTGTTGTTTTAGATTTAGCTACGCAGAACGAAGTGTCCATGTAGCACGGGCTATGGTGAGCCCGTAAACTTTATCTATCACGTTCCCAAGCCTCCCCCCCTCGGCCTCTCCTGCCAGGCCTTCTCCTCAGCACTTACCAGGTACTGTTCGTCCATACAGTCGATGTGAGGACCTATGATGGTGAAGTACTTCATCCCCTGAGGCGGAGACGCGTAGGGAATGTCCACTGTCACCTGTAGGAAAGATATCCGGTTATATAGTCACGTTTGTAAACAAATCCACCGTGACGCGAGACATTAAATTTTAAATTTGGCCCCGAGGGGCGAGTTTATTTGGCAGCGCCACTCATCTTGTGAGTGGACACACCGCCATAGTGACAGTATTGGGCAGCGCCACTCATCCTGTGAGTGGACACACCGCCATAGTGACAGTATTGGGCAGCGCCACTCATCTTGTGAGTGGACACACCGCCATAGTGACAGTATTGGGCAGCGTCACTCATCTTGTGAGTGGACACACCGCCATAGTGACAGTATTGGGCAGTGCCACTCATCTTGTGAGTGGATACACCGCCATAGTGACAGTATTGGGCAGTGCCACTCATCTTGTGAGTGAACACACCGCCATAGCAGCATGTACAACACTCCCCAATAGGAAGAAAACCCGCTGGGTAGTTCATCCTGTCACTTGTACCCAGACACAGCTGGGACTTGCTTAACTGTCTCAAGTGAACAGCTCCTCAAACAAGAAGATTAACATCTATCAACCCTTAAAAGCTTACGTTATCTTGCGGGAGACATCTCCCGTCCACCTCCACAGATCTCCAGTATCAGCTCTTGATACTGGTAATGGCTCAAAAGGGCCACCGCTTACGGGCTATTCATGCCCGTGCCACCTTTTGGGTGGCTTAATCTTCGTCAATCAATCGGATCCACCGTAAACATTACACAATGGGGAGAAACTGAGGAGATTCTGGAAAGTCCTGTGTAAATACTGGTTTGGTAACAGGGTTGTTGATTTATGGAACAAATTAGCGGGTTGCATAATAGACCAGGGGCCAGATTCACGAAACAGTTACGCAAGCACTTACGATCCTGTACATCTTTTCTCAATTTTTGGCGGCTTTGTTTACAATTATTAAACAGTTATAATGAGCTCCGAAGCACAAGGAGGCTGTTTATAACAATAACAACAGTTGATTGGCAAGTCATGCTTGTAAACTGTTTAATAAATGTAACCAAAGCCGTCAAAGATTGAGGAAAGATGTACACGTTCGTAAGTACTTGCGTAACTGCTTCGTGAATCTGGCCCCCTGGGTTCGCTGGATGTTTTCAAGCGTAGGTTAGACATAAATATCTGAAGCAGTTTGGGTGGATTGGAGCTCCTAGTCCTCATATCCCAGCTACTTGTCCTCATATCCCAGCTCCTTGTCCTCATATCCCAGCTCCTTGTCCTCATATCCCAGCTTCTTGTCCTCATATCCCAGCTCCTTGTCCTCATATCCCAGCACCTTGTCCTCATATCCCAGCACCTTGTCCTCATACCCCAGCTCCTTGTCCTCATACCCCAGCTCCTTGTCCTCATATCCCAGCACCTTGTCCTCATACCCCAGCACCTTGTCCTCATACCCCAGCTCCTTGTCCTCATACTCCAGCTCCTTGTCCTCATACCCCAGCTACTTGTCCTCATATCCCAGCTCCTTGTCCTCATACCCCAGTTCCTTGTCCTCATACCCCAGCTACTTGTCCTCATATCCCAGCTCCTTGTCCTCATACTCCAGCTCCTTGTCCTCATACCCCAGCTCCTTGTCCTCATATCCCAGCTCCTTGTCCTCATATCCCAGCTCCTTGTCCTCATATCCCAGCATCTTGGCCGGCACCTTATACTCCACCACATCACTTCCTAGTGCATTCCACTTGTTAACTTGTACTATGACACTGAACAAAAACATTTCTAAATGCGTAAGTGTGTGTAAACAAACACAAACAAGTAAACAAATACACCCCCCCTACCTGCCCCCTTCCCCCCCCCCAGGCCTCAAAAACCAGACCATCAATTACAAACTACATAATAAAAGGAGTTTTTAAGGATGTTGTTTAAGATTCGCTACTTGGAACAAAATGTTCCAAGTAGCACGGGCTATGGCGAGCCCGTAACGTTTTAAAGGACTCGTGTAAAATCATGCCGGAGGCGAGGCAGGGGGCTGGGCCCCCCGGCTGAGGTCTTCATGCAAATTCTTCTCCAATTCTCAGCTCCACAAATGGAAAAACCAACTCACATCTCTCCATGTAAATTAAGTTTACGTGATATCTATGTAGCTTATCTTAGTGTGTGTGTTGTTGCCGGAGAGTGCCATGCAGTGAGTGTCAGAGAGTGCCATGCAGTGAGTGCCAGAGAGTGCCATGCAGTGAGTGCCAGAGAGTGCCATGCAGTGAGTGCCAGAGAGTGCCAAAGAGTGCCATGCAGTTAGTGCCAAAGAGTGCCATGCAGTGAGTGCCAGAGTGCCATGCAGTGAGTGCCAGAGGGTCATGCAGTGAGTGCCAGAGAGAGCCATGCAGTGAGTGCCAGAGAGAGCCATGCAGTGAGTGCCAGAGAGTGCCATGCAGTGAGTGCCAGAGAGTGCCATGCAGTCAGTGTCATGCAGTGAGTGCCAGAAAGTGCCATGCAGTGAGTGCCAGAGAGTGCCATGCAGTGAGTGTCATGCAGCGAGTGCCAGAGAGTGCCATGCAGTGAGCGTCATGCAGTGAGTGCCAGAGAGTGCTATGCAGTGAGTGTCATGCAGTGAGTGCCAGAGAGTGCCATGTAGTGAGTGCCACCAGAGAGTGCCATGCAGTGAGTGCCAGAGAGTGCCATGCAGTTAGTGCCAGAGAGTGCCATGCAGTGAGTACCAGAGAGTGCCATGCAGTGAATGCCAGATAGTGCCATGCAGTGAGTGCCAGAGAGTGCCATGCAGTGAGTGCCAGAGAGTGCCATGCAGTGAATGCCAGAGTGCCATGCAGTGAATGCCAGAGAGTGCCATGCAGTGAGTGCCAGAGTGTGTCATGCAGTGAGTGCCGGAGAGTGCCACCAGGGGGGTAGGAGAATGGAGAGGGGTGGAGGGGATATGATATACTAGAGGGTGCAAAGTGTCAGTATAAAGGGTGCCAAGGAGTGTCAGTATAAAGGGTGCCAAGGAGTGTCAGTATAAAGGGTGCCAAGGAGTGTCAGTATAAACAAAGGGTGCCAAGGAGTGTCAGTATAAAGGGTGCCAAGGAGTGTCAGTATAAAGGGTGCCAAGGAGTGTCAGTATAAAGGGTGCCAAGGAGTGTCAGTATAAAGGGTGCCAAGGAGTGTCAGTATAAAGGGTGCCAAGGAGTGTCAGTATAAAGGGTGCCAAGGAGTGTCAGTATAAAGGGTGCCAAGGAGTGTCAGTATAAAGGGTGCCAAGGAGTGTCAGTATAAAGGGTGCCAAGGAGTGTCAGTATAAAGGGTGCCAAGGAGTGTCAATATAAACAAAGGGTGCCAAGGAGTGTCAGTATAAAGGGTGCCAAGGAGTGTCAGTATAAAGGGTGCCAAGGAGTGTCAGTATAAAGGGTGCCAAGGAGTGTCAGTATAAAGGGTGCCAAGGAGTGTCAGTATAAAGGGTGCCAAGGAGTGTCAGTATAAAGGGTGCCAAGGAGTGTCAGTATAAAGGGTGCCAAGGAGTGTCAATATAAAGGGTGCCAAGGAGTGTCAGTATAAAGGGTGCCAAGGAGTGTCAATATAAACAAAGGGTGCCAAGGAGTGTCAGTATAAAGGGTGCCAAGGAGTGTCAGTATAAAGGGTGCCAAGGAGTGTCAGTATAAAGGGTGCCAAGGAGTGTCAGTATAAAGGGTGCCAAGGAGTGTCAGTATAAAGGGTGCCAAGGAGTGTCAGTATAAAGGGTGCCAAGGAGTGTCAATATAAAGGGTGCCAAGGAGTGTCAGTATAAAGGGTGCCAAGGAGTGTCAATATAAACAAAGGGTGCCAAGGAGTGTCAGTATAAAGGGTGCCAAGGAGTGTCAGTATAAAGGGTGCCAAGGAGTGTCAGTATAAAGGGTGCCAAGGAGTGTCAGTATAAAGGGTGCCAAGGAGTGTCAGTATAAAGGGTGCCAAGGAGTGTCAGTATAAAGGGTGCCAAGGAGTGTCAGTATAAAGGGTGCCAAGGAGTGTCAATATAAAGGGTGCCAAGGAGTGTCAGTATAAAGGGTGCCAAGGAGTGTCAATATAAACAAAGGGTGCCAAGGAGTGTCAGTATAAAGGGTGCCAAGGAGTGTCAGTATAAAGGGTGCCAAGGAGTGTCAGTATAAAGGGTGCCAAGGAGTGTCAGTATAAAGGGTGCCAAGGAGTGTCAGTATAAAGGGTGCCAAGGAGTGTCAGTATAAAGGGTGCCAAGGAGTGTCAGTATAAAGGGTGCCAAGGAGTGTCAGTATAAAGGGTGCCAAGGAGTGTCAGTATAAAGGGTGCCAAGGAGTGTCAATATAAAGGGTGCCAAGGAGTGTCAGTATAAAGGGTGCCAAGGAGTGTCAATATAAACAAAGGGTGCCAAGGAGTGTCAGTATAAAGGGTGCCAAGGAGTGTCAGTATAAAGGGTGCCAAGGAGTGTCAGTATAAAGGGTGCCAAGGAGTGTCAGTATAAAGGGTGCCAAGGAGTGTCAGTATAAAGGGTGCCAAGGAGTGTCAGTATAAACAAAGGGTGCCAAGGAGTGTCAGTATAAAGGGTGCCAAGGAGTGTCAGTATAAAGGGTGCCAAGGAGTGTCAGTATAAAGGGTGCCAAGGAGTGTCAGTATAAACAAAGGGTGCCAAGGAGTGTCAGTATAAAGGGTGCCAAGGAGTGTCAGTATAAAGGGTGCCAAGGAGTGTCAGTATAAACAAAGGGTGCCAAGGAGTGTCAGTATAAAGGATGCCAAGGAGTGTCAGTATAAAGGGTGCCAAGGAGTGTCAGTATAAAGGGTGCCAAGGAGTGTCAGTATAAAGGGTGCCAAGGAGTGTCAGTATAAAGGGTGCCAAGGAGTGTCAGTATAAAGGGTGCCAAGGAGTGTCAGTATAAAGGGTGCCAAGGAGTGTCAGTATAAAGGGTGCCAAGGAGTGTCAATATAAACAAAGGGTGCCAAGGAGTGTCAGTATAAAGGGTGCCAAGGAGTGTCAGTATAAAGGGTGCCAAGGAGTGTCAGTATAAAGGGTGCCAAGGAGTGTCAGTATAAAGGGTGCCAAGGAGTGTCAATATAAACAAAG